GAGAGCCAAGATGTCACCTCCTTCACAGTAACAGCAGGGAACATGCTCTATTAAACCAGAATGAGCCTTCTCTCCACTCTGGGGCTCTGCTGTAAAAGCCAAGAAGCAGAGAGCCAAGCAGAGCCCACCAGGAGCTTGGCACAAGACTCTCACCCACAACCACTAGCTGATTCAAAAGACAGGCTCTGAGGCTGGAAATTCAAGTGGGGTGGTGCTGTGACAGAGCACGCAGCCACCATGCACTTGAGCCCCCGGCAGCTGCAGTCTGGGCCTGAGAGGGCCCAGTGTCTGTGGGTGTTTGTATTTAATTGGAGTGGGGTAAGAAGGGCCAATGGTTGGGTTTTATTTCAAACCTGCTTTGAGGAGAAGTAACATTAGGTGGCCCAGAGCTGTGACATGTGCCCTGGTCATAAATGCTTCACTATCAATTAACACCTCCAGAATACCTAAGAGTTGCCATTAACTTCCCATTCAAATAACCTCTTAAACCTTCCTCCACCGCACCCTGCCCATTCCTTTGCAGCCAGGCTTGCATGGTTTGATGATGAGTGATCACACTGCTGGCCCTATCTTTATAAAAGTCCAGACAGTTGGACTGTGAGAGTAAATCCCTACCTCAGAGCAGCTTAAGAAAGAAAGGTATTGGTTTACGCCTGAGAAGCCCAAGACCAGCTGAGTTTAATGGCATCCGCAGGATGGAGTTTGGGTTGCCCCATGTGTCTGCTTCACCTTCCTAGGAGCTGGCTGCCTTTTAGGGACCCTCTCCAGGAGATGCTGGAAAGTGGCTGCAGCAGTTAGGTGTACAGCCTGTCCTCTCAGCATCCCAGGTGGCAGGTGTCTTGGGAGTGGCAATGATGGGACCAGCTGCTCATTCTGGGCTGGTCACTGTGACTGGGATGTGGGATGGGCTGGTTAGTGGTTCTGGGCCACTTGTCCACCTCTGGATCTGGCAGCTGCACCTGCACAGCATTGGGCTAGGCATGGGAGAACTCTGGGTCAGGAGAAAGGGGATTAGATCCTGGATGGTGGGAACAGCAGGTGTCTCCTTCCACGTGCCCTGGGTCCAAGACTGCTCTGCTCTGAACCTTCTACAACTTCAGAGGTACAAGCTGCAGTGCTACCCTTGCTGAACCTACAACCCTGTTCAAGTGACTTAACTTCTCTGTGTCTCAAACGAGGATATTGAAAGAACCTTCTGCACAGGGCTGTTGTGAGGATTAACTATAATAATACATGAGTATCTGGCACTTGTACCCAACAACTCACCACTTATTTGTTCAACCAGGTAAAAAGGTTCTGGTCCCAGTGTTGCAGGACAGAAAGACCTCCTCCTCTGTCGATGCAGGTGTGACCTGGCACAGAAAAAATGGCAGGTGAAAGACAGGCAGGAAGAGCAAATAAGAAGGTGGGTGGAACCTCCGAAAGATGCCTTGAGGCCACGGAGATGACCGTTCTCAGAGCTAGTCCCTCGAGCAATGCGTTAAATCTACTGAACTGTGATGAAGCAATTTCTGGGCAAATTTTGTCCTGCTACACGGTGTCATGGAATGGCAAGGTGGCAGGTCTCAGAAGTGGATCCAATGTTCATTTTTTTAGGTAAAGCAGAACGTTCCTGGGGATGGTGTCAAACTGTCTTATTGAGTTTTCTGATGATTCCACTGGCTCCTCCTCTTTGCCCCACCATTTCACAGGTTTCCATCTTAAAGAGGAAGAGGAAAGGAAGGAAGGAAGGAAGGAAGGAAGGAAGGAAGGAAGGAAGGAAGGAAGGAAGGAGGGAGG